GACCAGCTCACCTGTCACCAGGGGACAGGGGCGTGAGAACCAACCGATTCGACCCATCAGACTCTTAGGCCCTCAGAGCAACAGTGGCCTGGAAAACCAGGACCCAAATAGAGGCCAAGGGCAAATGCCTAAGCCTCTCAAATCTCTTTTCCTGATCTGATATCTGCAATTTTGTAAAAGTTTTGGAGAATCCATATGTACAACTTGCATTGGTGCTTCCAGCATTTCCATGTGAGAAAGGCTTAGAAGTGGCCCTCTGCTGCTGGGGTGGGGGCAGGCACCGAGGACACTTGCCTTGAAGCTACATTTGCACAGCCAGCATATTATTGTCAAACCATCAGTCTCTGGAAAAGTTATCACAGGGTTAAGAGTGACTAAGATTACACAGATCGTCTTGAAGCTGTGTTTACCGAACAAACCCACTGTGTTTGTTTTAAATGCATGTCACAGATCAATAAGAACAGTAATATTCTCTGTTCAATGTTCTCTCAGGATGCTTTTATTTACATTGTGCATTAGATTGAAAAACAGGTCAGTCATTAATATCTAAACATATATATGGGGGAGGGGCTTCAGGTATGCTGATAGAAGGAGGCTAAGCTCTCCCTAGAAGCCAGACTTGCTTCCTTATAGGTTTGTCAGCCATGTAAAGAGGCAGTGACATCCAGGGCCACCAGAGGGTCCCCACCGGGGATCTGTAGGAAACCAGGACAGGGTTTGATTCATTTATAACTAAGGGAAGAGTATAAAGTGCAATGATTAGAAGTACAGGCCTTGCATCTGGCCTTGTACAGGCTGTGTGACCTTGAGCAAGTCACCTAACCTTGCTGAGCTTCCACTTGCTCACCTGTTCAATAGGGATGCTAATGGCAGCTGCCTCCCTGGTTATGTGGACATCACATAGGACAATGCCTGCGAAGCTCTTAGCATGGTGCCTAGGAGCAGTAAGAGTGAAGCGTTCAATAAAACACCTTGCTCATCAGGCTACCACCACCCCAAGGGGTTATAGGCACTCCCGCTATCTGTGCACGCCGGGTTCACAGGGAAGCAGGTTCCCTGCACAGCTAGTGAAGCTTCACACCCCCTCCCCAAACCCCATACTCAATCGTGCATTTGTAACTCTGCATGCTTTTTCTTAAACAGAGCCCCTCCAATACTTAGAACTTCAGGCCCCATAACACCTGGATCTGCCCCTGGGTTTGAAGATCTTGCTAGTGGACAAAGCAGAGAGAGAAGCTTCCAGAACCCTCTGCAGCAGAGAGAGACCCTATGTGTTTCATCTCTTCTTCCCTGGAGCTCCGCCGGCCCGTCCATCCTTCCACTAGGGACGCTTCATAAAGGGAGATGACTTCTCTCTCAATCCATTCTCAAAACCGGCACTGCGATCGCCGCATTTTACAGACAAGGAAAGTGAGAGCCTTCCAAGAAGACAGCTTGGCCCAAGATTTTGAGACCAGCAAGTGGCTTAGGATGGAATGCTTTTTGAAAAAGTGACCTAATCCTATTCTAGCATTTATTGTTCTTCTTTCCCTTGTCAAGAAAGTCTCATTGCAAAGCCTAGTTGGATAATTCCACACTAAAGGACTCACTTTGTGTGTTAGCTCTGGATCTGCTTGGCACCACCTGGTATCACCTCTTCACTCCCTCAGGTAGTCCTCCCTGAACAACCTGGCCCAGCTACCCTGGTCTCTGCTGGCGAGTGCTGGGTAAGGCACTAAATTACATCCTCTCATTACTTTTACTTTTATGAACATTTAATATCTCACTAAGGGACGGGGAAGCAACTTCCTAGAAGTAGAAGACTTGTCCTGTGAGCCTAGTGTCCTCCCAGGGCGCCTCAGATGGACTGGGCACAAGTGAGGGACCCCGCACGGACCTGCGGTACCACCTCCTTCCATCCCCCACTGCTGGGATTTTCATTCGACCCTCTTGACATCAATCTGCAGCCTTTGACCTGCAAGACTTTTCTCTGAGAGTCTGGAAGCAGCTCAGGCTCTGGATTCTGACGAACTAGGGACCAAACCCCCATTCAGCTGCTTGCTGTGTGATTCTGAGCAAGTCACTGTGTCTCTCTGAGCTGCGCTTTTCTTCTCTGAAAAATGGGGTAAATAATCCTCCCCCGTGAGGGGCACTGAAAAGGTAAAGGGATTAAGAAGTACAAATTGGTAGTTACAAAACAGTCATGGGGATGGAGCAGAGGGAATATAGTCAATATTATTGACCCATAAGGCAAAGCTTAGCCCTGTGCCTTGCTCCTAGTAAATGTTTGTTAATTTGTCCCCATCATGCAAGGTGCCCAGATTAAGACCCGCCAGAGCATCATTAGGCACTTACTGCATACCAGGCTCAGTTCTAAGAGATTTACATATATAGTCATGTGCCACTTAACGCTGGGAGAAGATGCACCTTCAGGCAATTTCATCGCCCTGCAGACAGACATCACAGTGTGCATTTACACAAACTGAGAAGGCCTAACCTCTGGGCCACGGACAGTACCCGTCCCTCTTAGGAACTGGGCCACACAGCAGGAGGTGAGCTTGAGTGTTAATGCTCTTGATTCATTCCGAAACCAGCCCCTCCCACCCCAGTCCATGGAAAAATTATCCTCCAAGAAACCGGTTCCTGGTGCCAAAAATGTTGAAGACTGCTGGTCTAGCCTACTGCACACCTAGGCTACATGGTCTAACCTAGTGCTCCTGGGCTACAAACCTGTGCGGCAGGTTACCGTCCTAGGCAAGATTAAATCAAGCACATGAGAATATGATACAGTCAAGAGATTATAATAAACACGAGATGCATGAAGCTGCTGCAGGCATAACCTGACTTACTGTTTACAGCAAACTGTTTTTATAAGTAGAAAGAGTACACCCTAGAATAACAACAAAAAGTATAGATAGCATAGTGTGGACGAAAAAGGGGCCACCTCCTAAACCTGACAGACTGAGCAGAGGCCTGCATGGCGGTCTTATAAACTCAGAGACCGAAAATAACCAGATAGGATGGTCTGAACATAAAACTGGGTAACTGAAAGTGAGTCCTGGGCCTGTAGCCCAGCGTCTCCCTCAAGTGGGCCCGTCTACTGTCTGTTTCGCACCTACAATAACATGCCTTTGGAATGTCAGAGTAATCCCTTTTGACCCAGACCCCGCAGGCCACAATCCCCCACCGGAGCAGGAGACCACAGGATCCTCCTGTCGTCTCCTTCCCTGCAGGCCATCTCTTGTGCTCTGAGCGTGCGTTGTTAACTGTCCCTTACCCACCAGTGCCAAAGAAGTGTGTGTCTCTGCACCTTTATCCAATCTCAGAGGTCTCCTCCCTGTGCCCTCTCGCCGCTCCTTAACCCGCCACCAATGAAATTCACGTAACTCCCTCGCCCCTGCCGCACGCCTCCTCCTTTGAGTCTAATCTATAAAACAAACTGTAAAGCTGCCATTCTCCAGCAGTTTCTCAACCCGTGGAGGTTTTGCTTCCTGCAATCGTCATCAGTTTGGCTCAGAGAAACTCACAAAAAAGGCCTGCAGGTTTGGATGTTTCTTACGTTGACAACAGTAAATGCATACAGCAGCACCGTAGCCGTTTACTATCAAGTATTACGTACTGTACCTGATTGCATGTTTTGTACTTTTATAGGACCGGCAGTGCACTAGGTTTGTTTACCCCAGCATCTCTATAAACACGTGAGGATGGGTCTCAGATTCATCAGGGTGATCACTTCATAAGCCATAGAAATGTCTAATCCCTGGGTGGTACACCTGAAACTAATATAATATTGTATGGCAACTGTAACTGAAAAATAAAAAAATTTTAATAAAAGGATTAAATGAGATGAAGCATGTAAGGCAAAACTTAGTACTACACAGCCGGGTATACAGTAAGTGCCTAATAATGCACAGGTGGGTCTTAATCTGGGCACCTTGCATGATGAGGACATCAAGTTTAACAAACACTTTCTAGGAGCAAGGCACAGGACTAAGCTTTGCCTTCTATGTTTCATCTCATTTAATCCTTTCTTTTTTTAAAATACATTTTCCCTTTTCACTTACAGTTGACATATAATATTATATTAGTTTCAGGCGTACCACCCAGTGATTAGACGTTTCTGTAGCTTATGAAGTGGTCACCCCGATGAATCGGGTACTCATCTGCCCGTGCTCCTAGTGTTTGTTAAACTTGGCCTGGGTTTCATTGCATCAGGATGCTACATGTCACTTGGAAGTTTTCAGCTCCATTATCATCTTATGGGACCACCATTGTATATGCCGCCAAAACATCGCTATGCTTCTATTTTGTTGCTCAGTTTATTTTGTTCATTAGATTCCACATCTAAGGGAGATCATATGGCATTTGTCTTTTTCTGACTGGCTTGTTTCACTTAGAATGGAACAGACTGACAGCCGTCAGAGGGGAGGGGGAACTGGATGAAAGAAGGTGAAGGGGTTAGCCAAAGGGCGGGTTCCCCTGACCCACAGGCAGAGGGAAGGCAGGTGGGGGCTGGGTACAGGTGGGCAAAGGAGGGAAATGGGGACGTTTGCGGGAGTGTCAACAATAAAATTAAAAATAAAAAGAGAACCTCGTTATGCTTACCTGGCACATGACTATTGCCTCGTTTAATATTCACTACAACTTTACGGATTGGGACTATCATTTCCCCCAGAGAGGTTAAGCGACTTGCCCCAGGCCACACAGCGTGGCGTTCAGGAGTGTTCATTGTGATTACCAAGGAAAAGGCGCCGCAAACACAGCCGCCAAGCCTGTAGTTAGAGCTCAATGAAATCATTTTTGTAAAAGCCAGAACATCTAGAAAGCTGGGTGAGGCTCCAAGGAGCAGCTGGGGCGTTCACAGCATCTGATAAAGAAGAGAGGTAGAGGGGAAACTGGCGAGACCTGCCTGGACTGGGACCTCAAGGGTCTCGCGTCTCGGCGGTTTAGAAAGAAAGGGTCCGGCCGGCGGCGCTGCCGGGCAGGCGGGCCTCGGGGCTCACCCGCAGAGGAGCTGTTACCTTGAGCGGGAGGGCGAAGACCACCGGCAGCAGCGCCAGCGGCGTGATCAGCAGCACCAGCAGCCGCCGCCTGCTCCATAGCTTCTTGGCCACCGCCGCCAGCGCCGCCATCTGTGCGGACGCGGGGGAGCGGGCCAGCCCCGGACTGCCGCCTCCTGGCCCACGCACCCCTTTAATAAAGCCTGGGGGCGGGTCCGGGGAGGGGACTGCGCTTGGGGACCCGCCATCTCCCTACTACCCTCGGAGGAAAAGGGCGGTGCCTGCCCTCCCCGCCCCCAGCCCCGGAACTGGGTGAAAGAGGCCGGGAGAAGTTGAGAAAAGTTAGGCACCAGAACTAAAGGACGGGACTCCAGCCCTGTAGGCGACTTGGCCTGAGGTTTAAGCCCTGACAACTTTCCAGTTACAAGACCTGGGGCAACTGGCTTAATCATTCCTCGTCATTGTTAATTCGCCCGTGGAATGTACGATAGTGACAGTGTGAGGAGTATAGCGCTCACGAGGATTAACAGGGTTCAGATCCTAGCTCTGCCACATGCTAGCTGCGCAGGCTTGAGCAACGGGTCCCTGAGCCTCAGTTTACTCCTGCAGAGAGTGAGAGTGATGGTAACAACGGTCACTTTCAGACGAAAGGTCTATGGGGAAGTTTAATTGAATAACGCGCTGAATGGCCTTAGCGCGGTGCCTGGCTCCAAGCGAGCCCTGGGTGGGAATGATCCAGTGTCAATATTGTTATTCTTAATTCCCCCCAGGGTGGATGAGTCACCTGCAGGGGGGAGCTCGGAGCAGTCCCTTCCTTCCTCTTGGATAAATGCACCGGAGTACAATTGCTGGGTTGTATGGTAGCTTTTAAAGAAACTCCCAGAACTATCCTTAAGTGTTTAAAGAAACTGGCAAACTGTTTTCCAAAGTGTGCACACCATTGTACGGTTCTATTAGTGATCCAGTTTCTCCATGTCTCTGTCAGCATTTGCTGTTGTCTCTAGTTATATTTTAGCCATTCTGATAGGGGTGTAGAGATACTGCATTGTGGTTTTAATCTGTATGTTCCTATTGGCGAACGACGTTTCATGTCTTTTGGTGTCCCTATTTGCCATCTGCATATCCTCTTGGTTGAATTATCCCTTCCTGTCGTTGGCTCATTTTCTAACTGGACTGTTTGTCTTCTGCTGTTGCATTTTGAGTGGCACTATATATTTTATATATTCTAGATAGCAGTCCTTTGCCAGATATGTTGATTGCAAATATTTTCTCCTAGTCTTTTCATCCTCTTAACAGACTTTCACAAGGCAAACATTTGTAATTTTAGTGAAATCAAATTTATCCATTTTTTTCTTTTTCGTTTTTTCTTTCTTTCTTTCTTTCTTTTTTTTTAAATCGTGCTTTTGGTGTCGTACTCTTTGCATAGCCCTGGATCCTGAAGATTTTCTCACATTTTTTTTGGAAGTTTGATAATTTATTATTTTGTTTTATATTTAAGTTTACATGTTACTTTTTACATAAGGTGTGAGACTTAGGTTGAGGGATTTTTTTCCCTTCTTTTTTTTTTTTTCCTATCATTGACCAAATGCTGCAGTATATTTGTTCAAAAAAGTTTTTTTTACTCCATTGAATTGCTTTTGCACTTTTGTCAAAAATCAATCAGGCCTATGTGATAGACCTATTTCTGGATTCTTTATTCTGTTCCATTGATCTAATTGTCTATCCCTTTACCAATTCCACACAGTCTTGGTGACGGTAAGTATACAATAAGTCTTAACTGGAGAGATTGATTCCTCCCATTTTATTCTTTTTTAAAAAATTATTTCATCTATTGTAATTCCTGTGAATTTTCATGTAAATTTTTAGAATACTCTTGTCTACATCTACAAAAAATTCTTGTTGGGGTCTTGGTAGAATTACATTAAACTCGTATATTTGGAGAGAATTTACATCTTTACTATATTGACTCTTCTAATCCATGAGCATGGTGTGTCTCTCAATTGATTTATAACTTCTTTAGTTTCTTTGACCAACATTTTGCAGTTATAGCTTAAAATTCCTATACACATTTGGTTAGATTTATATGTGTTACATTTTTTGAGCAATGTAAGTGGTATTCTATTTTTCAGTGCCCATATGTTCACTACTAGTATACAAAATAGAACGGAATTTTGTATATTTACCTTGTATCAACTTATTTATTACTTCTATAAGAGTTTTTTCTTTTGTCAAAAACTTGGGACTTTCTACACAAGGCAATCATTTATGTAGATTTATGTAATCTACAATAAGCACAGTTTTATTTCTTCCTTCTTGCTCTGTATGCCCTTCATTTACTTTTCTTGCCTTATTGCACTTCTGGAACTGCAAGCATTATGGGTGAGTAAGAGCGTGAGAATGGGCATTCCTGTGCAGTTCCCCATCTCAGGAAGAAAGCGTTCAGTCTTTCACCATTAAATGTAATGTTAGCTGTGTTTTGTACATGTTCCTTATGATGGTTATTCCAGTTGATGTACTTTTCATTTAAAAAATCCCTCGGGCTGAGATGATAGCGGGTGAAACCAGAGTAGTAGTGGCAGATGTGGTAAGAAGCGGTCCAATTCTTAATCTATTTTGGCAGTAGAGCTGGCAGGTCTTGCTGATAAGCTGATGAGGCTAGGAGGGAAAGAAGCTGCTGTTGTGATCTAATGAGATAGCGGAATATTTCTCACAGTGAGAAGCATACCAGTGAAATAACACAGATTGTTTTATGTTGTACTACACAGTATTTAAATAATAATCCCATAGAGTGAAAATTATTCCCTGTGTCAGTTTTCTTTAACTGTTTATTAAACCATGGAGAGAGTCTCAGCTCCGTGTTAGTGTCCCTGTAACATCTCAGCACTCGGTCAGCTCTCATCGTAACAGCCCGAGAAGGCTTTAGAGCCAGACACTTTGGACAACACTGGACCGTAATGATTGATTCTTATTTTATGTATTCTTATAATTACTTTTGACTTAGAGCAAGTGATTTTTGTTTTTTATTAAAGCCCATGATTTATTGTTTAACATCCTCATTTTAAATCAAACCCATTAAAGTTTACAATGTGAAGCAACTCCAAGAAAAACATTAAGTAACTCATGACGTGAAGAATATGTGTTATAGCAAAATTCCAAAACCTGGATGCAAAGATCTGAAACTTGGGGAGATAAGAGGTGGTAAGAGAAAGACCCAGAAAGGGATGCAGTGCTCACTTCCTAGCTGGATCACGCTTCCATGCTTCCTGGAACCCTGGGCAAGTTATTTCCCAATGCGACCCACAGGCTGTGACGAAACTTTCTCCCCTGTCCTTTCAGACTAGGGACCTGACCTTGAACCAGCCCAATAACCGGCTTCATCAAAGGTTTTAGTCAGGTCAGCATCAGACCACACCGGATGGAGGGAGAGGCCATCCTGCAGGCGGCCCTTTGGACATTGGAGGCCTGGGAGTGGGAGAATGGGATGCCCCAAACTGGAAAAACTCTTCCTGGGGGTTTGGACTCTGGGCCATTCCCTGAGTGGAGACCTCTAGGCTGGCTCTCTTGTTCTGGAAACAGCTAAGGGATTAAAAGTATAACACTTAATATTAGAGCAGAGGTTTCAATCCAGTGGCTCAAAAGTAATAATAGTAATACTGTTAACAGTAGCAAGAACATACACTACAATGACTGCATGCCAGGCATGGTTTCCAGCACTTCACACGTACGGTCTCCTTTAATCCTTCCAATACCACCCTGCATTAGACAAAGCCACTTTTAAGTTCTGGCTGTACCACTTGCTTGTCGTACAACCCAAGTCAAGGGGTTTGATTCCAATGGGCCTCAGTTTCCTATCTGAAATGGGGATGAGAATAGAATGTAACTAATAGGGATGTCCGGAGAATTAATAGGTAAGGGCGTAGCACAGTACCTGCCCAGAGCCTGTGTTCAATGATGGACAATTATTATTCTCCTGGCGACAGATTTTACTTCCCAAGGAAACACAAGCGTATGTCTTCCATCCTAGACATGCATTGCATATGCTCCTCTTACGGTGTGATGAACATTCTTCCCACTCAGAGTGGGTTCTTGGTCTCACCTCTTGAAAGTGGGTGGGGGCTTGTGATGAGCCAGCTAGTAGAACATGGCAGACGGTGCACAGACGGCTGCTAGAGATTTCCGAGGCAGAGTTATAAAGAGGGTGCAGCTTCTGCCTGGTTCCCTGACCCCTGGGACTGTTGCCCTTGAAACAGCCACCATATTTAACATTCAACTAAACCAGGAAGAAAAACCACACAGAGAGAAACAAAGGCTCCCAACAAGCAGCCAGCGATGGTGAACTGGCACATAGGAGGGAATCAGCCTTCAGGTGATTCCAGTCCCCACCCCACCCCACCCCCACCTCTGGGTCTTTCAGCTGTGCCCTAGCTGTGGAGGATCAGAGATAAGACAATTCTGTGCCGTCCTTTCCACATTTTTGATCCACACGATCTGTGAGCCTTATAAGTAATTGTTGTGTGCCATTAAATTCCAGAACAGTTTGTTACACAGCAACAGTTAACTATTTTCTCACCTGGAGAGGAGCTTCTTAGAGGAGGGAGAGTCAACAAGACAGGCGCCCTTCCGCGCGGTGGCGTGGAGCGCTGCAGGAGGAAAGGCGGCCCCCAGCCCGGACCCACTAACTTCCTTTCTTTGTTTCTTCCCCTTTCCCACTGAAAAATAAGTAGAATGTGGGAGGGAATTCTTAAAGAACTTCTACAGTCGATGGATGATTTGATTACCATTTATTTTCTTTCCCTACTAGATATAACCAGTGGACAGATGGGGCGATGGAGGTTCGGAGAGATTGAGACGTCCGTTCAAGGTCACACAGCAAGTGCACGGTGGAGCTGAAATTCCAGCGATAGACACTACTGCTCCCCCCACAGTCCGTTTTCAGTAAGCAAATAATGATCTATGTGAACTATGCATTACCTATGGATTGTAGTCATCGGCCCAGTTATTGAGCGCTTGCTATGTGTCCAGCACTGTGCTGGGCACTTACATAAACGACCGGGTCCTGCCAGGTTCTTTGACCCCGCATCCTGCCTGCCGCCCTCTCGATGACTGTGTGCCACCCTCTCGGTGACCTTTCCTCTGCGCTTTGAATATGCCAAGTTCTTTGCGTG